CAAAGCTATGAAAGTTTTCAAAAGTTAAGGCCAGCACCTTTAATTGAACTCAGAAGCAAATCAGCAATTAATGAAGCTGACATGAATATGTTTATCCATGCATGCTGTCCAACAGCAATCTGGTAACTGATTATATAATTCTTGTAACTCCCGAGTTTGTTTTCCTGAGTTTTTTTCAAAGTCATCTCTACACAGAGTACATTCAGTAGTCAGGCCTGGAAGTTACAAAAATATGGATCTAGATAACAAGGTCAGATCAATCTAGAAGGTATGCAGCAAGCGTAGATAGAAAAAAACACTCTTAGCAACAACTCCAACCCAGGTCTTGTAAAGCAGGCCAAATTCAAAGAGTATTATCTGCTCTGATTTACCCCATCAGTCATGGGTAAGTCAGCGTCATGCAAAATGATGCCATACTCAACTAGCATCACCTCTTTTTTATCTGGATTCAATTTTATGTGCTTATGTTTTCTGGTTACTGATTTCGGTAACACTCAAATTAATGAAATGTAGAGCTGGGTGTTGTCAGCATGTTGATGACTTCCTACCTCAAATTAGTTAATCTCATTCAAAGGCCTAATATAGATATTAAATAATACTAATGATGATTCTGATCCCTGTAGTATCCTATTCAGCAAATACTGCTGAATCTTTGCTGTAAAACAGTGAACAACAAAAAAGACATGTCATTCCTGTCACTCCAGCTCGGTGTTTCATATGGTCAAGAATAACATGATCACCTATTTTAAAGTATGCTGAAAGGTCTACAGAATCAACAAAGAGGCACTCCCCGTCCTTCTGTAGATAATGTGTATTGTCTAATGTATTGTCAACTCCAGAACCAGGTGTGAAGCCAGAGTGGAAAGTGTCAAGAAACATTCTCTGCCTTTTTATGCATTAACAAAACCTTGCCTATTTTGAAGCAGAGAAGCAATTATGATATTTAATTTAATTAAGATGTTCTGATATTAAGAATCCATTTGGGACAGTGAACACATCTTGAGGTTTCATTGTGAAAGCAAAGAAGCAACATATTTTCCCCTATGCAAAAATATCAGTTTTTAAAAGCTGTCGAATAAAGATTTAAATTACACTGTAGATTTACTAATGAAAATGCTTTTTCTTTCAGAGAGATTGGCACAATTATTAGGTCACTAGGTTGCTGTCCAAGTGAGGGGGATCTACATGATATGCTTGCAGAGGTAAGTTCTACAATTTTACACCTCTAAACTATGCAGGGTATCTGATCCCCCCCCCCAACATTAGCAGAAGTGAGAAATATAATGCATAGGATTTTCATTCATTTGTTTCGTTTGCTTATCTTTCTCCATCTTCTTCAGCGACATCTTTGAAGCTGAAACCTTTAACAAAGTTTGCCAAAAGTCTCTAAAGTCTACAAATCGCCTGTAATTTTCTTGTAAGTTCCTTACTATAGTCCCATTTTGCTTTCAGTTCTGCCCCCCTTTAAAAGGCATGCTTTAAGTCCGTTTTTATTTCTGGGGGGGGGGTTCCCCGCCCCTCCCTCACTTACTTTAGGGGGACTTTCAGCCATTTCTCTGGTTCTCGTTTCAACCAAAATCACTCTCAATGTAGATCATGTAGATCTAGCCATCAAACGTGTAAAACGTGTAATGCCTGACCTCCACTCGCTAGTCCCGGTGTGCGTCTCTGAGTCCAGTACTGGAACACAGCAGTGAGACCGTCGGGGCATCGGAACACCTCAATCCACTGGCACCGTGCTGGGGGAGAGGCGATCCTCAGTGCCCCATGGCTAGGAGTCCTTCACAAGGGCCCCGGGGGGGCGCATACAATCGCACTCCATCTCATCCGCCGGCTCACGGATCGCGTCCTCGGGAGCTCCCGAGAGACGCATCCGCCATTAGATCGCCAAAACCGGAAGTCTCCCATAGATTTTTCCCATAGGCCAAGAAAAATCACTGGAACTCGGCATCTGTTCTTTGAGAACCTAACATAAATATTAATAATGCTAGGCAAAGTAAGAATATTATGCTCACTAGGATTCACATTAACATTAGTCTTGTCTGACAACTATGCTCTTTCTGAATAGGTCTAAACTTTTGGAATATTCACATAATTTTAAGTGGAAATTAAAGTTGTATGTGGTGTGTGCAAGGCTAACAGAGCTTTGTTAAGAGAACACACCGGTCATAGCGAACACCTTCTTCTAACAACCTAAGAGGCAACTCTATACATGGACATCACCAGATGGGCATCACCAAAATCAGATTGATGACTTGCAGTCAAAGATGGAGAAGCTCTATACAGTCAGTAAAAACAAGACCTGGAGCTGACTGTGGCTCAGATCATGAGCTACTCATTGCAAAATTCATACTTAAACTGAAGAAAATTGGGGAAACCACTAGGCCATTCAGGTTTGACCTAGATCACATCCCTGATGAATATACAGTGGAGGTGAAGAATAGGTTTAAGGGACTACATTTGATAGAGTGCCTGAAGAACTATGGACACAGGTTCGTGACATTGTCCAGGAGGCAGCAGTCAGCACCATCTGAAAGAAAAAGAAATGAAAGAAAGCAAAGTGGCTGTCTGATGAGGCTTTACAAATAGCAGAGGAAAGAAGGAAAGTGAAAGCCAAAGGTGAAAAGGAAAGATTTACCCAACTGAATGCAGATTTCCAGATAACAGCAAGGAGAGATAAGGAGGCTTTCCTGGATGAACAATGCAAAGTAATAGAGGAAAACAATAGAATGGGAAGGACTAAAGATCTCCTCAAGAAAATTGGAGAAATCAAGGGAATGTTTATTTATTTATATTTACCTTTATATCCCGCTCTCCCCACCATTCGGCAGGCTCAGGGCAGCTAACAACACATAAAAAAACACATTAAAATGTTCCATGCAAAGCTGGTCATGATAAAGGACAAAAACGGTAGGGATCTAACAGAAGCAGAAGAGATTAGGAAAAGATGGCAAGAATACACAGAAGAACTATACAAGAAGGACCTCGATGTCCTTGACAACCACGACGGTGTAATCACTGACCTCGAGCCAGACATCCTGGAATGCGAAGTCAAATGGGCCTTAGAAAGCATTACTAATAACAAAGCTAGCAGAAGTAATAGTATCCCAGCTGAGCTATTCAAAGTCTTAAAAGATTATGCCATTAAAGTGCTGCACTCAATATGCCAGCAAATTTGAAAAACGCAACAATGATCACAGGATTGGAAAAGGTCAGTTTACATTCCAGAGAAGTTCAAGCTGGGTTTCGAAGAGGTAGAGGAACTAGAGATCAAATTGCCAACATTCGCTAGATTATGGAGAAAGCACAAGAGTACCAGAAAAACATCTACTTCTGCTTCATTGACTATGCTAAAGCCTTTGATTGTGTGGATCACAACAAACAATGGCAAGTCCTTAAAGAGATGGGAGTACCAGACCACCTCACATGTCTTGAGAAACCTGTATAAGGGTCAAGAAGCAACAGAACTGGATATGGAACAACTGATTGTTTTAGCATAGGAAAAGGTGTACGACAAAGATGTATATTGTCACCTTGCTTATTTCATTTATATGCAGATTACATTATGCGAAATGCCAGCCTGGATGAATCACAAGCCAGAATTAAGATTGCTGGGAAAAACATCAACAACCTCAGATATGCAGACGATACCAGAAAGTGAAGAGGACCTAAAGAGCCTCTTCCTCAGAGTGAAAGAGGAGAGTGGAAAAGTTGGCTTGAAACTGAACATAAAAAAACCCTAAGATCATGGCATCCAGCCCCATCACTCCTTGGCAAATAGAAGGGGAACTCGAAGCAGTGGCAGACTTCACGTTCCTGGTATCCAAGATCACTGCAGATGGTGACTGCAGCCATGAAATTAAAAGACGCCTGCTCCTTGGGAGGAAAGCGATGGCAAACCTAGACAGCATAATAAAAAATAGAGACATCACCCTGCCAACAAAAGTCTGCATGGTCAAAGCAATGGTATTCCCAGTAGTCATGTATGGCTGCGAGAGTTGGACTATAAGGAAGGCCGAGCACCGAAGAATAGATTCCTTTGAACTATGGTGCTGGAGAAGACTCTTGAGAGTCCCTTGGACTGCAAGGAAATCAAATCAGTCAATCCTAAAAGAAATCAACCCTGATTGTTCCCTGGAACGCCAGATACTGAAGCTGAAGCTCAAATACTTTGGCCACCAAATGAGAAGGGAGCACTCACTGGAGAAGACCCTGATGCTGGGAAAGACTGAAGGTAAAAGAAGAAGGGGATGGCAAAGGATGAGATGGTTAGACAGTGTTATCAATGCAACAAACATGAAATTAAGCGAACTCCGGAGCATGACAGAAGACAGGAGGGCCTGGTATGATGTAGTCCATGGGGTCATGAAGAGTCGGACTCAATTGTGCGACTGAACAACAACAGTGGTGTGTGCATGGCACATTCTTAGGTGGAAAAGAGGACAACATGGTGCCTTACCTCCAATAAGCATACCAAGGGTAGTGGAACAGATAAGTGTAGCTAAAATACAGTGGATGTGGAAGGCCATACAGTCATGTGGACAGGGATGTTTTGCCATGGATAGCCTTATTCACTTCTCTCAGCATGATAGTGTGTCCCTTTGGTCTAGCTTTGCAGCTTTTCCCCTTTTGCTAACACAGCAAAATTCTTTGTAAGACAAATAATTATTCTAATGCAAAATGGTTAGCTTCAATAGATTGGCATGAAACATGAGGTTCTTTCCTTTTCCCCATAAAGCAGTTAGTATCCTTTAATATGTTAGTATGCTAGTTTATTCCTTTCTGGGTTTTCCGTTAGTAGTGAGACATTATTCCTGTAGTTAAAATGATTGTTTTGTTGTTCAGTCGCACAGTCGAGTCCGACTCTTTGCGACCCCATGGACCAGATCCCGCCAGGCCCTCCTATCTTCCGCCGTCCGCTGAAGTTGGCTCAATTTCATGTTCGTTGCATCTATGACACTGTCTAACCATCTCATCCTTTGCCGTCCCCGTCTTCTTTGACCTTCAATCTTTCCCAGCATCAGGGTCTTCTCCAGTGAGTGCTGGAGAAGTGCTGTACCTAATCAGTTTTAAAGAAATGTGTGGGGTCCCTTCCAGTAAATAGCATCTTTCAGGAAATATTCACATGAGGAATTTTCATGGTGAGGCTAATGCCCAGGTAAATGCACATAGAATTGTAACCTTAGAAATGCAGCTTCCCCTTTACAATGAAACCCTAATGGCTGTTTGACTTTGTTCTGTTCTATGTGTTACTGTCAGATTACCTGTGTTCTCATCTTACATTTAGTATTCATGTTGACTCTTCAGATAAAAAATAAATTGTTCTTCGATATTAGTGTTACATTGTTTTTAAGTGAGATGTTTCAGCTATTCCAGTGGAAGTTGATAAAAATAACAGCAATTTGTTCTTATAGTAACTAGTATTTTATAGATATTAACAAAAAAGAAAAAAGGGCAAGTAAAACGAATTGTGAGATAAACAGATTTGTTCAGAAAGGAAAAGGATGTAAGCAAATGTTCTACGAAACATGTAAAAAAGAAACAGTCTGTTCTGAAGCAGAAACATTTTACATAAATGAACAGTTAACCACTAGAGGACAATGTTGAGTTAATAAACCTGTCCACTCTTGCTTGATTCATGTCGTGAAAGACTTGGAAATACCATGAGAATGAATAAACTGGATAAATAGTTAGTATAGATTTTTTTAAACTGTAGAGTTCTGTACAGTTGTTGAAACCCTCAGTTAACTAGGTTATCTTCAGTTTAAGATACAAAAATGCACCCTTTTATTTTCCATTAATGGTTAATGGTCCCTATTGTGGTAATATCTTGTGGTAATATCTGGCTTTTTATCCCACTCTTCCGAGAAGCTCAGTGTGGCATATATAGTTCTTCCATGATCTTATCCTCACAACCCTCTATGTGGTAGGTGAGGCTGGAGAGAGAGTGATGGGCCCAAGGTAACCCAGTGATCATCATGGATGAGTAGGCATTTGAATTTTAGTCTCCCTGGCCCTAGTGCAACATTCCCTTACACATGCTGCCTGTATTTAGCATATACAGACAATATATAGATGCCTGTATAAAAATAGAATATCTGCCTGTTAATGATGCAAACATGGCATGATCAATAGATGTACAACTGCCTGTTCCAAACGTGGCCCAATAGAAACCCCGAACTGCTTTTTCAAATTAAAAGAC